AATCAAAATAAATAATCTTATAACTGTAAATAAAAAATCTTATGAATATTACACTTATAAGCAAGAGCAAGACATTTCAAAGCTAAATTTAGCAATAATTGAAGATGTTCCAGATTCGTTTTGCGCTCCTAACCATATACGAAACGTGGGTAACAATTTGACCCGAAGACGAAAAACAAAAGAAACAGACACGCAAGTTTCCTCACGATGTTTTCTTTTCGCTGTGCACGTGGTAAATCAGCACTTAAAACTGCAATTAACAATTACTTTCGTGCCGGCGGGGAACGAACCCGGGTTGCTCGCGTACTGTGAAATTTACATCGAGCGCTAACTTCTTAACTACTATGGCTCTATCTAATGTGTACAAGCAAAATACGTACAAGTCAATTATTTCACTTTACTTATACAGGATGTTTTCTCAACTCATTACCGAGACGATTTTTCAAGTCTTGTATAGACGGATAATACCATCTCGATGATTGCAGCATAACACATTAATTATTCATGTCCCAGAAAACGTAGTAATTTCTTTAGTTAATTAGGAGAACCTTATTTTCTTATCTTATTTTTTTTTTAAACGTTACCCCCACACTAGGATGTTTTCCTGTGTCGTGGAGGCAGTTTACAAACATAAATTGCACAAGGACAAACATCCAGACCCGGAACAATTATTTGTAGGCCATACAAATACTTGTTCCGTGCGGGATTCGAACCCGCGGCCCCCAGCGCAACAACTGATTGCTAAGCCACTGCGCCACGGAGCCGTCGATTAGTTATTTAAAAAACCTGTATGATAACTTATTTAAAAAAAGTTCAAGATGTTAAAAATTAAGTAGCTAATATCCGCGTATAAATTTTAATGATGTGTCTTACCTATTGAAGAAAACTAGTTTTAGGTGTTTTAGTTAGCGGACAGCTACCGCAGTCGACTTTACCTGAGGATGCCTCATGAAGAGTCGAAACACGTGTCGTATTATGGATAAATATATGGATAGGAATGGCATATATAATATATATAATAATAGGATATGGACTGGAATAAGTGGTGATAACAAGTGCACGCAATTAAAGAAGGGCGTTTTATACGTGGTTGTAGCACAAATGGGTCGGTTCGACCGGGGAAGGACCACACTCTCATAGAATACCAGCGTAAAAGAGCAGCTTAACAATACTGTGTTTTGTATGGTGAGTGTAGAGAAGAACCGGAGAACTTTTTACTGAAAACGAGGCATTCCATCTTAGTCCTCACAGTGACAACGCATCTGCTTTTTGATTCGTAATCGAGGATAGATGTAGATGTCTATGGGTCACAGCAACCACTTACCATCAGGTGCACTGTGTGCTTGTTTGTCACCATATCCTATAAAAAAAGGGCGGGAGGTGCTCTTCAATCTAGGTAAGACACATCATTTTATTTTATTTTATTTTGAACATCTTTAATATACTACAATACCGCAAAGTAATGTCTGAATCTATTAAATATTTAATAACATGTTTTAAATAGAAGACATGTTAACAACGTAACGAAAAAACAAACAAAGCTCCCACCGTCTCTTTATCATTCCCGAAGGCTTGATCGGCGGAAACGCCAAGGGGACGCTGCGGGGCCGAAGCTTCTGGAATGCACTGCGCTTCCGGCGGCGTCCCGCCACAATTTTTAAATGATTGCAACATAAAAACCAAAAACGATCTGTAATTACGCAATTAACAACGCATGTAGTTCAATGTCGCCGGTAACTCGCGTCTGCAGCCATTTGATCTATTTAAACGTCATACGCGATGCGCAGGAGATATAGCTTCCTTTGGTATTGGACATTTTACAATGTAATTACGGGCAAGTAATAGCTTCTGAGATATTTATATCTCAAGAGGAAGCTCATTATAGGTAATAATATTAACTTTTCTTACTATTCTAAACCAGCGCCTAACTACAATCCCACCTGATGGTTCGTGGTAATATAGCCGAAGATGGTGAAACATAATGACTTAAAAGCCTATTTACTCTTGCATTGAAGACACTCACATTGTAATTGGATGGAAAGACAGATGCTGGCAACTTATTCTTAACTTATTTATGTAGCAAAACTGGTAAATAAGGTTAACAAAAAACTTAACCTTTTCAAAATTGCTTTGACCTTACAATATCACAATTTTAAGAGTTTATAACACGTCAGTTTTACAAAAATATAGTGAAGAAAAATAGGTTACCTTTTAACTGATAGAAGCATTTATATTTTAGTCCTCAGGAATGACAACTGAAAACGTATTCCCATTTTGATCCTTTGGCCTGTCTATGGTTTTCCATGTATGCTTATATATCAATCTGTTTTAATTTTAAAGTTTCTAATAACTGATATAACAAAAAAGAATTTTTCAGAAAATATTTTTTCGTTTTAATATTAGAAATCTACATCAATGGCAAACTACAGATAATAAATAGTTTCTTGTTCATTGAGGCAAGGCCGCACGCACGAACACAAGCAAATAAAAACACAATATCGTACGTGAGAATGTCAAACACTGAGCACACCGTATGAAATTTCACGATTTATCTATTCAATTCCATTTAAATTCTTTTGTTAATTTATCAGATTCATCAAATAACATAAACTCTCACGTCTGTTATCTAGAGGGGTGGGCAGAGACTATGGACTTTCATTTGTTTATTTGCACATATCGGTGTGTTAAGAGTACACTTAATTTAGCCCATCTATACAAATAAATAAAATTGAAGTCTGTTTGTAATGTTAAAATAACAGTTTTTTTTAGTAAATGCATACGAAATATATACGGTACTTAGATATAACAAATCCGGCTAATCTCCGAAACGACTGGACCGAATTCGACGGGACTTTCATTGACCGATAGCTGATGTTATAAGGAGTAACTTAGGCAACTTATATTTTAGAAAAACAGTTAGAGTTCCTCGCAACATAATTAAAACCCTAAATTACACGCGGGCGAAGTCGCGGGGAACAGCTAGTCTTCAATATAACGCCAATTCGGTCGATAAAATTCCGACTAGGGCAATGCTTGCCGACTCTGCCTCTCACTTCTGCAGAATAAATCTGCTTTGTTCCTCCTTTCTCATTAATTCTTTCTAGTGTCCAGACCACTGGACTTTTTCTTTCTTAATCATAAACACAACATCTTCTTGAAAACCACATTTTTCTCTTATCATGCAATCTCTCATCCTATCAATCAGAATCAGACCTCACACTTCATGACTGCATTTCTACACCGTTAATTTTATTCTCATGCCTCTTCTGCCACACCCAAATTTCACTACCATACATTAAGGTTGGGACTCACACAGCATTGTGAATTGCGTAACGTACCTTTTATGATATATTCTAACTTCCCACAATAAAGTTAAGGGTTCGATTATGAGATTCCTTGGCTGCTATTTTCCTAATTAATATTAAAAGTGCTACTAGATTTAAATATTTATTTTGTAGTTATACATCTTTTGGGGCGTTTGGGAAAAATGATGATAGTGAATTTTTACGATGCGCGCGCACACCGACAGCTAAAAACGACACCATGAAGTTGTTACGATGCGCGCGCACATTGACACCTAAAAGCGACAGTGGGTAATTGTCTCTCAAGTTTTTTTGTTTTGTTACCCTAAAGAAGCATAACTTCCTACGTGCGTACATAAGTACACACACTTTTTTTAACTAAAAGTTTATTATTAACGTATACGGCGGCGTTAGATAATCTATCGCGCATTTTATTCTACTGTCAAGTTTCTTCTGCTATACCTATTAAAATTTCACTACTATACATTAAGGAACGGACTAACACAGGACTGTTAACAATTGGATTACATTCCTTTTTTGACACATTATGACTGCCCACAATAGAGTTAAGGGCTCCATTATGAGATTCATTAGCTGCTATATTCACAACTAGCTGCTCCCCGCGACGTCGCCCGCATGTGATTTAGGGTTTTAATTTATTTGCGCGGAACCCTAATTCTTTTTTTGAATGAAAGTGGCCTAAGTTACTCCTTATAACATCAGCTATCTGCCAGTGAAAGTCCCGTCAAAATTGGTCCAGTCATTTCGGAGATAAGTCGGAATAAACAGAAAAACAGACAAAAATTGAGTTTTTGTTATAAGTAGCCTACCGTATATACTTACATATATGCATTTACTAAGAAGCTGTTATTTTGACATAACAAACAGACACTTCAATTTTATTTATTTGTATAGATGTATAGAATATAGATTATATTGAAAGTAGCAATAGATTTAAATATTGATTTTTTTTAACTAAAGTTCATCAAGTTTATTACCTAGTCAATTCGTCCCGTGGGTGTGATAGGAGGCGATAAGGGGATATCCTAAAAGATCTTATGGCTTCCGATAGATGGAGGTGTAATCATCTCGTTTATGCCGTCAAAGGTGTGAAGCATCTGGTACTGCGATTGTAAATCTTCCTACCAAGCGTTTTATCTTCGAACACATACATTAAAGACAAGGCGCGTTTAATTGCCAAATGGGCACACGGGGTGGGCTGACACACGGACATGCATAAGCTGTCTGCCCCCTGCGGGTGTCATGACACGTGAGGGGTTAAGACTTATTCTCTTTGTAATAGGTGAGGCCTATGCCTAGATGTGGACTTTTAAGGACTATAAAAAATAACAGGAAGTAATTTTTTTATAGAATAAGGGTGACAAGCGAGCACACAGCCCACCAGTAAGGAGATACTGTGGTTCATAGACATCTACATCTATCCTCGATTATGAATCCAAATGCAGATGCGTTGTGATCCCTGAGGACTAAGATGCAATGTCTCTTCTATCTAGTAAAAAGGATCTCCGGTTCTCTACACTCACCATATGAAACACAGCAACATTAAGCTGCTATTTTAAGCTGGTATTGTGAGAGCGTGGTCCTACCCCACTCGAGCCGACTCATTCCTGCTACAACCATAAAATAGCTGCAACGTGGCTCTACCACTATAAAAATAAAAGTGGAATCATCACTCACCGATTGCCAGTCCTCCTGTCTTTCTATCCTCGCCGGCTCTGTTCGCTTGGCGAGTTCAGCGCGTCGCAGCTGTTCCCGGGCCTTGCTGCCCAAGTCCGCTGGGCCCACTTTAACGAACTGCAGTGGGTTCGCGGCCGGCTTGCCGGGTATCACTGATGCGGTGTGTGGTCGTGTCGCGAGAAAGTCAGCGCTGTCGGTCGTCTGAAATAGAAGATAGGATAAGTAAAAATTTGAAGATCGCAACAAAATTAATAAATAAAGCAGAAGGTTGCCAGAGTAAGTCATGACATCAGAATGTCGTAAAACTCAGTCCCTTTTTAAACTCATTTCTTAGTAAGTGATAGCAGCGTAAATCCATTTTATTTTTATCTTAAAATAGGTATAAAAGTGCAAGCGAGCATACAGTCCACCTGATGGTAAGTGGATGCTGCGGCCTATAGACAGCTACATCTATCGATCTTCAATTAAGTGTCAAAATGTAGATGCATTGTTATCCCATTGTTATCCCTGTGGACTAAGTTGGAAGGATGGTTACAAGAACCAGTAAATAGTGTTGCCTCGTAACCAGTATATATTGCCTCCGGTTCTCTACGCCACCATATGAAGCACAGCATTATTCAGCCGTTTCAGGTATTCAGTGAGATCGTGATCCAACCCCGATCGAGTCGATCCATTTGTTTTGCAGCTATATAGCTGCAGCGTGGCTCTACCAAGTCGTAAGACGCAAAAATGAGAAATGCCATAATTTAAAACTTTGTACAACCGAGTTCAATATATATTATTGAGGATAGCTCAAAAATTATTGGTCAGACCTTTATAAAATTCATATGGGACCACATGAGAAACACCAGCATTTTAATAAAAAAAAGAATCATCGAAATCAGTTCACGTAGAACAAAGTTATGAGATAACACAAATTAAACAAAAAACATACAGTCGAATTGTGTACATCCTCCTTTTTAAAGTCCGCAGAAAAAATTGCTTCCGAGAGGTATTAGTAACATTTTGTTTTCGAAAATGCCAGACATATAACCCTGTAGTGATGGTGTTAGATTATCCACTTCCTAGTATCGTCACAAAGCATACTGCTGTGGAAATTTCGAATAACACGCGTTGCGATTGGGATTTTTTTTTTAATAGGATAGGGTGACAAACGAGCACACAGTCCACCTAATGGTAAGTGGTTGCTGTGACCCATAGACATCTACATCTCATCTATTCAAGTTTGCGAATCAAAACGCAGATGCGTTGTCACCCGTGAGAACTAAGATGGAATGCCTCTCTTCCAGTAAATTGGGTCTCCAGTTCTCTACACTCACCATACGAAACACAGCAGTGTAAGCTGCTATTTGACGCTGGTATTCTGTGAGAGCGTGGTCCTTCCCCGGTCGAGTCGACCCATTCGTGCTACAACTATACTACTAATATAAGATGTCGTTAAATCTTGTGGTGTCACAGTCACTTAAAGTGATCAGCACGTGACTTAACGGCATCTTAAAATTGAGTAACGTTTGAATATTTGGTCACAAGTTGATGAACAATACAATTAAATACAATCACAACAGATCCACGCTTAATCAATTTAGATGCAATACGTGACGCTTTCGAACGTTATATAAAAGCTCGGCATAATAATGTTAATTAATTCGACAGAGGACTAATCGCTATATCTATTATCCGTCTTCGTTGCCTAAGACGAGCGAATGATAGAATCCACGACTTTTTCTGCCACCAAGGGGGCGCCATTTTGCAATAAGGTGTAATATTTGACAGATTTCATGGTAGGGGTTAAGTTAATTTGTTAGAAAGCGTAGAGATTAATCTTTCTTTTCGATATATAAGATATATTTCATATCAATTTGATTAGAAATGGATAATTAAAAATTAAAAATTTTGTACAACCGATTTCAATATAAATTATTAAGAATAACTCAAAAACTATTGGTTAGACCTTGATCATTTATATGGGTCCACATGTGAAGCACCAGCTTTTAAATAAAAAGGATCATCGAAATCGGTTCACCCAGCAAAAAGTTATGAGTTACACAACACATAAAAAATAAGACATACAGTCGAATTGAGTACCGTCTCCTTTTTGAAGTCGGTACATAAACTAAACTACGGATATTCCTTAAAGTAGAAGAATTAAAAAAATATATAAATGTTATATTATAAACTTTCAATGAAGATGACCGCTGTGTAACCCTTTTCCGTGATAAATAAAATCACCTCAGTCCCGACTAGCGACATTTGGTGAGCGTAAGATTAGTACTCATAGTCACAGTGTAGTTGTAATAATTAAAAATTAAAAATTTTGTACAACCAACTTCAATATAAATTATTAAGAATAATTCAAAAACGATTGGTCAGCCCTTGATGATTTATATGGGGCCACATGTGAAGCACCAGCTTTCAAATAAAAAAAGAATCATCGAAATCGGTTCACCCAGTAAAAAGTTATGAGGTAACACATATAAAAATAACATACAGTTGAATTTAGTACTGGCTCCTTTTTGAAGTTTTGAAGAAAAGTATTGCTGCACTAGTTAATTACCACTTCTATTAATGAGTTACTATGAATTGAAAGCTATTTGCTTTACTGCAGATAGTAAACATTTGATAACAACTAAACGCATCGATTCAGTTTTTAAAATAAAAAAATTGAAGAACAAAATAATTAAATTGTAACTGGCCATCATTATGCCAGTCGATTAAAAATAATTATGTCTAAGATTAAAATGTATTAGTGACTAATAATCTCCAACTAACCTTGCTGCAATAATTACATCTATTTTTGCTGTTATATATTTTAAAATTAGATTTCTACAATCTATTTTAGAACGAACATCTGTTTTCTAACGAGCTATTAACGTACATATTATCTACGGTTTGTTTTTATTTCGTCCAATCAACACCTCAAATGCTTCCTCCCTAATGCATGTACAGACACGTGTTTCCGACGCGAGACATCCTCGAATAACACTGGATGAGCCGTTCCCCAAATTAAACTTTTAGTGAAATGATTTTTATGATGAACATGATTGCGAGCTTTGCATGTGCTGCTACTGCTTTAGAAGCCATTGCTACACAAATTCCTCATGCGGGGAGTTACATCTTGTGCCACAGAGACGACAATGAATCTGTGGCATTCTATGTTAAAAGTTGGTTGCAGCTGTCATGGACTCAACTAACGCTGCTAAGTCTAATTACCATCGGGTCAACTTTTTTAATAGAATAAGGTTGAAAAACGAACAAACAGTCCACCTGATGGTAAGTGGATACCATGGCCCATAGACATGTACATTTACCCTTGATTAAGGTTAAAAATGCGTTGCCATCCCTGAGGACTAAGATGGAATGCCTCGTACCCAGTAAAGAAGATCTCCGGTTCTCTACACTCACCATATGAAATACAACAGCATTAACCAGCTATTTTACGCTGCTATTATGTGAGAGCGTGGTCCTTCCCCGGTCCGATTCATTCATGCTACAACCAAAATGCTGCATGTCTTTATACGTATTACTACAAGATTTTGTCACTTCCATTATATAAGAAAAGGTGCACACCATCTGTAATTTTTTGAAGTTATCATGATTCTACCATCTAGCACAAGTAAGACGTAAAATCACTAGAAAAGCTTCGACTGCACATAGAAACCTTCTAAACCTATCTAACAAAAGGTAAATACAAAGCAAATGTAGATCGTACAATGACGTAACAAACACAACCAAGTGCCGGGCTAGCTATTACGCGCACCACGACCTCTTAACGAGCGGACCGCTGCTAAGTCTAATTTATTCACTGCGAGAAAGCCGCCCGAATCTCACGAACTACGCGACGTAAATTTAAGGCATATTTTTAAACACTTTCACTTGAGGTGGATACGGAAAAATATCCCACCACGGCAATTCCAGTTGATTTTTATGTATAGAAAAAAAAAACTTGCGACGGACGTGTTTTGTACGTGGTGGAGCCATGTTGCAGCTATATTAGTTGTATAGTTGTAGCACGAATAAGTCGGCTCGACCGGGGACGGACCACACTCTGTGCTTCGTATGGTGAGTGTAGAGAACCGGAGACTCTTTTAACTGGAAAAGAGGCATTCTATCTTAGTCCTCACGGGTGACAACGCATATGCATTTTGATTCGCAAACGATGATAAATGTAGATATCTATGGGCCACAGCAACCACTTACCATCAGGAGGACTGTGTGCTCGTTTGTCACCCTATCCTATAAAAATAAAACAACTTTCATACAACCGTACTCATAGCAACCAGGGTTCGATCCCAATTGGTACCAATGGTGTTTTAATTGCAATTTTAAGTGGTGATTTACCCCGTTCTCAGCGTCAAAGGAAGAAACTTGCATGTCTGAGATCAAACGTTTTTCGAAGACAAGTGAAGTCCACCGCTACGTATTGGGGCAGTGCGTTGACACTTCCTTGTCTTAGAACCCTCTCAGAAATAAGAGGCGTTTTATTTTAGCAGTGATATTAAAAAAAAGATACATGAATATTAAAAATACCTTGCTTGTACTGTGCATGTTGGTCAAAAGTGAACCATACTAGAGAATCCAATAATAGGAATATAATCCAAGAATACAATAACTCCATAGTTGTCGTGGGAGGCAAGTATGGTAAATGCCATGATTGGATGGTTTTACACTGATATAAATTAAAGACCGCCTAAATACCAAATACTGTTGGGCACGCCTCCTCTCACTTCTGAAAGGGTTTTAGGGCAAGGAAGTGTCCGCCGCATTGCCCCAATGCGTGTTAGCGTGTTTTTTTTTCAGACATGTAGGTTTCCTCGCGATGTATTTCTTCACCGCCGAGCATGTGGTAAATCAGCACTTAAAATTGCAATTAACAATTTCATTGGTGCCGGCGGGGATCGAACCGGGGTTCCTTACGTGCTGTGAAATTTAAAGCACGCACTAAGCCCCTCAGCTACCACGGCTTATTCCATTGATAACAGTATCTATAACTATTTTGTTTATGTCTGAAATCAAATACTTAGACCATACTACCTGGACCAACCACGACCAACAGCGTCAAAGCTACGAACTACCTAAGTCCGCGATCGATTTTTTATTATAGAATAGAAATGGTCTATGATGATTACTGTCTATTATTGACTTAAATCTAAATAATGCCACATCATTAGATAGTTCCAGACGAAGCCGGGGACGGCGCTAGT